CCACACTCCCCTCCAGCCCCACCTCACCCGGCACTTTTCCCTGCAACTGCAGGAAGTGCTACACCTGCCCCTACACCTCCCCCCTCACCCCCATCCCAGGCCCTAAGAAGACTTTCCACATCAAGCAGATGTTCACCTGCACATCTGCTAATGTGGTATACTGCATCCGCTGTACCCGTTGTGGCCTCCTCTACATCGGGGAAACCAAGCGGAGGCTTGGGGACCGCTTTGCAGAACGCCAACACTCGGTTCACACTAAACTGCACCTCCCAGTCGCGAACCATTTCAACTCCCCCTCTCATTCCGCAGACGACATGTCCATCCTGGGCCTCCTGCAGTGCCACAACGATGCTACCCAAAGGTTGCAGGAACAGCAACTCATATTCCGCTTGGGAACCCTGCAGCCCAATGGTATCAATGTGGACTTCACAAGCTTCAAAATCTCCCCTCCCCCCAACCGCATCCCAAAACCAGTCCAGCTCTTCCCCGCCTCCCTAACCTGTCCTTCCTCCCACCTATCCCCTCCTCCCACCTCAAGCCGCACCCCCATCTCCTACCTACTAACCTCATCCTGCCCCCTTGACCTGTCCGTCCTCCCTGGACTGACCTATCTCCTCCTACCTCCCCACCTACACTCACCTTTACTGGCTCCATCCCCGCCTCTTTGACCGGTCTGTCTCCTCTCCACCTATCTTCTCCTCTATCCATCTTCTGTCTGCCTCTCCCCTCTCCCTATTTATTTCAGAACCCCCTTCCCCTCCCCCATTTCTGAAGAAGGGTCTAGGCCCGAAACGTCAGCCTTCCTGCTCCTCTGATGCTGCTTGGCCTGCTGTGTTCATCCAGCTCTACACCTTGTTATCTCAGATTCTCCAGCATCTGCAGTTCCTACTATCTCAGACCCAGGTCTCTGTTGTGTATTAACAATGGTATAATATCATGGGAAACATAGTACATTACACTTCAAACACTGGTGTGTGATTCTTTCTGAGTACTGACCTGGCAAAGCTTTAGTGCCAGGCTTTGGGGTCAGTCCTCTGGCTTGAATAATCTCCACCTCTAGCTGACCACTTCGGTCAGCCATTCCAATATGAATATCACCTGCAGTAGAGAGATACATTGATTAGATCACAACACGAGCATCAGTGAGTGTGGAAACCAAATCAAAATCCCTCAATTAGATTCCAGTCTGTAACTCACTCCCAGGAATCGATTATTCTATGTATAAACTCCCGAACCTCTCGATTAGATTCAAGTCTCTAACTCTCTCCCAGGAATCTGTTAACCCATATATAAACTCCCTTAACCTATTGATTAGATTCCAGTTTGTAACTCACTTCCAGCAATCTGTTAATCTATACATAAATCCCCTGAACCCCTCAATCAGACTCCAGAGTCTGTAACTCACTCCCAGGGATCTGTTATTCTATACGTAATTCTCTCGATTAGTTTCCAGACTGTAACTCACTCCCAGGATCTGTTATTCTATACGTAATCCTCTCGATTAGTTTCCAGTCTGTAACTCATTCTCAGGATCTGTTATTCCATATATAAACCACCCCGATCCCCTCGATTAGATTCCAATCCATAACTTATTACTAGGTATCCGTTGTTCTATATGTAAATCACCTCAAACTGACTGAATGCCTTGCTTCGATTTCAGTCCTAGGTAACATATTCTATTTATAAACAAGCTGATTTTTCAATTGGATACCAGTGGTTTATTAAGGTGTTAATTCCAGAGATGTTCCAGTAATGGGTTAAATTCCTGCAGTGACCTGTACTTGTGCAGTCTGAAAGTTGTGTCATTATATGTGAACACGTCTGCTGTTTGCTGATATATGTTTGCTTGTGCTCTCACTTTCAGGAACTGCATGACTTTTAACCTCAACCCTTTGACCTCCCTCAATGTTCTCAATCTCCTGTGAAGATCCTCATCTGGTGCTTATTAAATCCTTTCTAGACTTGAACATGCTCACACTTTTCCCAAATAATGTCATACACTTTGTAATTTTTGGGTCTCCTCATTCAGGCGCTACAATAAAAGTTGTCCTTGATTCTTACTCTCCACATCGTTTTGATTCTGGATAGGCCTTGACTGCAGTGCTGTGTCTAACCTTCAGCACCACCATGGGAAGGATTGACAAGGCCTTGGAGATGCCAGGGGTTTTACTGGGATTGTTCCAGGGATGAGGGGCTTTGGTTGTTTGGAGAAACTGGGATTGTTCTCCTTCGAGAAGGTTCGGGGAAGATGTTATAGAGACATTCAAAGCATGAAGAATAAATAAAGATAATTATCTTTTCCCATGACAGACATGACACAAACAAAAGGACACGGACTTGTAATGGTTATCCAGACAAGAAAAGAGATATAATGAGCAACGTTCCCTCTGGTGTTTTTTTCCAGAAGTGGAAGGCAATGCGTTGGCATGCTGGTTGCAATGTGCCTCTAATACAACAACTCAGATTCTTATATACAATCTGGATGCTATATTTACTTTGATCATAGATACATTATACACATAGTTGACCGAATCACCGGCTAGCAGCCTGGCTGACGTGAGCGTGTACAGGGAGTGAGATGGAGACCTTGCTGTCTTAAAGGGATAGCACCTCTCCGGCATCTGTGCAATAACACAACATCCCTCTTTAGTTCTTTTGAAGGATAGGAAATATCTACAGCACAATACAGTCCTTTTACCAGCAGCAAAACTCAGTTATGTAGCTTTACTCTGTAGTGTGCAATTTACCATTGTGAATGGATCTGTATCATGAATTATAAACGTCTGCTCGTTATCGGGTGACATGCTCAGAGTCACCATCTTTTAGGACAGGTAGTTGATCATGTCACTTAGGGTCCATTAGGATGAGATTGTGGAGTACTTGGAAGAACATAGTAAAATAGGGCTGAGTCAGTGCAGCTTCATCAAGGGGAGGTAATACCTGACAAATCTGTTAGAATTCTTTGAGGATGTAATGAGCAAGTTAGACAATGGAGACCCAGTGGATATGATCTGTTTGGATTTACAGAAGGTCTTTAACAAGGTGCCACACAGGAGGCTGCTGAGAAAGATAAGAGCCCATGGTGTTAGGGACAAGGTACTGGCATGCATTGAGGATTGGCTGTCTGGCAGAAAGTAGAGAGTGGGGATAAAGGGGTCCTTCTCAGGATGGCAGCTGGTGACTAGTGTAGTTCTGCAGGGGTCAGTGTTGAGACCACAACTATTCACATTATACATTAACAATCTGGGAAAAGGAGCTGAGGGCATTGTTGCTCAATTTACAGATGACACAGAGATAGAATCATAGAATCCCTACAGTGTGGAAACAGGCCCTTCAGCCCAACAAGTCCACACCAAACCTCAGAGCATTCCCCTCTAACCCACCTAATCGACACATCCCTGAACACTAGGGGCAATTTAGCATGGCGAATTCACCTAGCGTGCACATCTTTGGAGTGTGGGAGGAAACCTATACAGACACGGGGAGAATGTGCAAACTCCACACAGACAGTTGCCCAAGAGTGGGATTGAACCCGGGTCCCTGGCGCTGTGAGACAGTAGTGCTAACCACTGAGCCACCATGTCACCGCGATAGTGGAGGGATAAGTAGTGTTGAGGACGTGGTGAAGCTGCAGAAGGACTTGGATAGGCTAGGAGAATGGGCAAAGAAACGGCAGATGGAATACAATGTGGCAAAGTGTGAGATTATACACTGTGGTAGGAAGAGTACAGGTATAAACTACTTTCTAAACGGGGAAAGGCTTCAGATATCTGAAGCACAAAGGGACTTGGGAGTCCTAGTTCAGGATTCTCTTAAGGTTAACATGCAGGTTCAGTTGATGGTTAGGAAGGCAAATGCAATATTAGCATTTATTTCAAGTGGGCTAGAATACAAGAGCAGAGATATACAGCTGAGGCTGTATAAGGCTCTGCTCAGACCACATTTGGAATTTTATGGGCAGCTCTGGGCCCTGTATCTAAGGAAGGATGTGCTGGCATTGGAAAGGGGATCCAGAGGAGGTCTACAATAATCATTCCAGGGATGAAGGGCTTGTCATATGAGGAGCAGTTGAGGATTCTGGGTCAGTACTCAATGGAGTTTAAAACGATAAGGGGGAAATCTGATTGAAACCTACAGAAAACTGAGCGACCTGGTTAAAGTGGACACAGGGAAGATGTTTCCATTAGTAGGAGAGACTAGGGCACAGCCTCTGTGAAGGGGCGATCCTTTAGAACAGAGGTGAAGAGGAATTTCTTCAGCCAGAGGATGGTTAATCTGTGCAACTCATTGCCACAGAAAGCTCTGGAGGCCAAGTCATTGCGTGTATTTCGGACAGAGATACATAGGTTCTCGATTGGTAAGGGGATCAAGGGTTATGAGGAGAAGGCAGGAGAATCGGGTTGAGAAACATATCAACCGTGATTGAGTGGCAGAGCAGACACAAATAGACCAAATGGCCTAATTCTGCTCTGATATCTTATGGTCTTATGTAAAACTCAAATGTGTTGGCTGTTTCCTTGTAGGATTTGGCCATTGTTTGTGACAAAGTCATACAACCTGAGCTGGATACGGTATTGGAGTATCTTGCTGTGAACTCAAGTATTCACATGAAGAATTCAAACTCTGAAACTTCATTCTACTTCAATTTGGGACAACTGCATGCACACTAGTGGATCATGCTCTTTTACAATTTTCTCCCTTCTTTCCAACAATACATTGTGCCTATGTGGGTTTGGGCTGTGTTGTTGCAGTTATACAGGGACTTTGTGAGGCCACACCTAGAATATTGTGTGCAGTTTTGGTCTCCTTTTTTGAGGAAGGATGCTCTTGCTCTCGAGGGAGGGCAGCAAAGGTTTACCAGGCTGATTCCGGGAATGGTGGGACTGAAATATGAGGAGAGATTGACTGGGTTGGGATTGTTTTCGCTAGAGTTCAGACATTTTTTTTCTTTATTCATTCACGGGATGAGGGTGTCACTGCCCAGCCAGCATTTATCGCCCATCCCTACCTGCCCAGAGGGCAGTTCAGAGTCAACAACATTGCTGTGGGCCTGGAGTCCCATTGTAGGCCAGACCAGGTAAGGATGGCAGTTTCCTTCCCTAAAAGACATTAGTGAACCAGACGGATTCACGGTCATCACTAGATTCTTAACTCCAGATATTTAATGAATTCAAATTCCACCATTGGCTGTGCTGGGATTCAAACCCAGATCCCCAGAACATTAGCTGGGTCTCTGGATTAACAGTCCAGCAATAACACCACTATGCCATCACCTAAGTCTCATAGAGACTTATAAAATTCTAACAGGACTGGACAGGGTAGATGCAGGGAGGATGTTCCCGATGGTGGGTGTGTCCAGAACCAGGGGTCACAGTGTGAGGATTTGGGGTAGACCATTTAGGACGGAGATGAGGAGACATTTCTTCACCCAAAGAGTGGTGAGCCTGTGGAATTCATTACCACAGGAAGTAGTTGATGCCAAAACATTGAATGTATTTAAGAGGCGGCTAGATATAGCACTTGGGGCGAATGGGATCAAAGGTTATGGGGAGAGAGCAGGATTAGCCCATTGAGTTGGACGATCAGCCATGATCGTGAAGAATGGCAGAGCAGGCTCAAAGGGCTGAATGGCCTCCTCCTGCTCCTATCTTCTATGTTTCTATGTTTCTATTGGAGCTGCTGGCTAAATGGTTGCCTTGAAGTGAAGCTCATAAATTTAATATGGCTATCCAAAAATCCTGGCAAGCAACTTTGACTTTGATGAAGATGGTCTTCTCTGTGAGAACAGTGTGTTCTGTAAGACCATTGGATTGGGGATAGTGGGGAGAGGAGGTGAAAGGTTGAATACCCCACTCATCATACATGTTTTGGAAGGATTTAATAAAGGGCTATGGACTGCTGTTGAACACAATTTGTTGAGGAACCCCAAACATACTGAATATGGTGACTAATTTACCAAGGCCTGTCACATAAGTGGTAGCTTTGATCTATCTCATGAAAGGGAATTGGTGAAATAATCAGTCTCCAATATCTAGTCTTGACATGGAAGCTATCAGTCACAATCCTGTACCACGGTTCAGATGGAAATTTGTGTTTAA